CCGGTATTTTAGACCAGTGCGCTTGGCGATTTGACTCCATACCCTCGCGAATTTATTTAAAAACAGCAACAAAAACGGTATTAAATCTGAGATGGTTGTGCAAAACATAAATCATTCTAAGGCATTTCTGTGAGGTGGAAATTGCTCGTTTGCAAGCTCAATGTAAACCGATTGTGGCAGTGTAACATTTTTCATAGTGCAACATTTGAAAAAGCTTTGCGAAATAACAAAATAGTGAAATTAATTTCCAGAAATTCTACTCAGCTTTGTGGTGGCTGGCGTTCTCACGGTGTGCTGGTGTGTCTACTGTCTGATATATCGAGGGCTTTTTAATCACATTTGGCAGTGGATGCAGCTTCATGTGCCGATGTTCAGTGGTGTTCATAAAAATTGCTGTGAAATTAATGGCTCGCGTCACGAATAAATAAAGCTCAGACGACTGCAGCGGGGGTGGGGGGGGTGAAAAAAAATCACTAATAAAATGTTCATCTCGTTTGAAATATTTTTAGCCAATACGGCATGGATGTCGCCTTTAATTTCAAACAGCGTGTTCTACATAGCCATGGTGCTGCTTGGTCAAAATCTTATATTTTTTTGGTATTTCACATGGCATTTATTTCAAAAGTCTGTTGCTTTTTGTGTTTCGTTTGTTGTCCTTCCCCCGCACCTCCGATTAGCACGGTTGGCTACGTACGGTGTGAAAGAAGTTCAACATACATAGACAATTTCTGCGCTGATATTATACTGTATAGTCATGTCCTTAATGAGGACAACCAATTAATTTGATATAAAAATTACCCCCTTGTTGGTAAAATACGTCCTCGCTTATATAAGTAAACACCACTGTACTGATTTTCGCTTAATTCACTCTTGCCATGCACCTGATTACAATCATTATGCCCAATTACTTTCTCATTATTCGGACGCGCAATCAGACATTGCCAGGAAACGTTTGATGCACAAACATATCTTAGGGCGGAAACATGCTCAGTACCGCCAGAATGTGTTGGGTGATTGGTTCCCAAAAATACACAAAAATCAGGCCAGTTCTAGAGACGCATTGAAATCACCGTGGTGATAGATAAACTGTGTTTGCCCTTTTCACCCTGCACACCTACAGTACATCCACATTCTTTTCAACACTATTTGTAACCCTAATGCTGAAGCTGCACTTAAGACAAATCAGTACTTTCTCCTGCCAAAGATTGGTTCAAGCCAGAATGTGAAATGTATTTATATTCTATATATGAACCTAGCAAACTGAATTGTATTCCTGACCACGGCTAACATCAGTGGCAAGTGATATCTAAAAGAGTCCTGGGCCCACCCCCCTGCACCAACCTGCACTGACCAGCCTGGGTGAAGTATGGTCAAAACTACCCCATTGACGAACACGGCGTGGGAAGGCCTTCATCCAGCAGCGGATTAACAAAGAGCTGGACATCATTATCATTATGTAGGGTCGTATCTTACAATAATAATTGTTGTGTAACCTGGGTTTCAAGGAAGTAAAAGGTGCTCCCAACTGAGGCACCAATACCACATCCCACGTCAATAAATGTTCCTTAAAGGTCTCCAAACCGAGACCTACCCAGAGGTAAACTAACATCATAAAAGCTGATGAGGTCAGGCCCCTAAGGTGGTATGGATGTAAGTGACATTGTTTTTAATGGCCCATATGTATTTAACTTTGTGTCCCTGTAGAGACACACACCTCAGTGAGAAATCATGCAGAGACAACCTTGCAATGGCTTGCCATGCGTTGTATGGGTCACCTCTCGTTGACATTGTCTGATTTTAACATTGCCATTCAACGTGTAAAGTGGCCTGCGTGCTTGTCTTCATATCCCGGCATCATTGGTTCTTGCCTTTGACCTTTTTCTACACCCGATTGGTAATTTCCTAGGGAGGGAGGGGACGGAATGCATCGCAGTATGAAAGCTGCGAGCTGACCTTTTAACGGGACCTTCCCACCAAGGCAGCCTGTTGAACTTCGCCTCCCACTCAGTGTTTGCGGGCGTCCGTGGCGACAGCATAAACATTTGCTGCGAGGGAGCTACACAGCAGCTTCGCGTAATAAATACAACACATTGTCCTGCTGAGGAGCTGGTAGGAACGTTGGTTTGCTCGGTCAATGGCCAGGGTCAACGGCGGCGTGTGTATTCCGCAAATATGCTCGACTGTGAGGGCGGCACAAGCCGGCGTGAGTAGGTTTAAACGTTGAGTTTTATAAGGGCACCACGGGTGACCAGCCCCTCCCACCCAGCCCACCCCCCCCCACCCGCCACCCAGCCCCACACTCCCCACCCAGCCCCTCCCCACCCTCCCCTCCCCACCCAGCCCCTCCCTCCCCACCCAGCCCCTCCATACACGACGGATGGACACAATAATCCCCTGATGCAACACTGTTTTTATTCGGAGAATACAGTACATGTTCTGGCCACTCCTTATGAATAAAACAATAAGTGGTAGGCTGGTGGGTGAAAGTGTAAATTTGTTTGAAACTTAATTATGAGTTGTGCTGTTGATAAAAAGCTTATTAATTAAGCTCAATGTTACTTATTATGTTGAGGCTATTCCCAAACCGGTTGTCGCTAATGTTTATTTTGCTGTTATTATTGCTGGCTGCCACGCTCAGACATTGTGTTCACCGAGGTAAAAATTTGCCTGAAGTGATGAATAATTAGTTTTAATGTCATTGCCACGAATAAACAATAGCGCACTGCCTGATCTTATGCTACTGGCAGCTACCCCATAGGCCACATTCATTGTCATCGTACTCACCTTTTTAATTTTAGTTATGCCGTCTCTAATTTATTTAACATAAATACTGTTTGAGAATTATTTTCACCCTTCACCCTAAACGCCAATTGAATAAATGTAAATTATGTAAATGAGTTACCATTACTCCACACATATACATATTGCTGCATTTTTGGTTAATTCAGTTTTAATATTATTACACATAACTTCCACTCTATTAGGTGCTTTACGATCATTATCATTAAGTCATCATCAATATTATTAAATGATGACCTACATAAGCCGTGACATTATTTTTCCACGATGTATTATTTTCCACGTTATATCATAGTAAAGTTTCACTCGTTTTAATAGCCCTAACGAGTTAACAATCAACTCGTAGGGAAACTTTCCCAATGGGAAGAAATGTACTTTTTACCCCATAAATTAATTCCTTATTAACAAGAGTGCTGTGCTCTGAGTGTTTTTGCAGATTAACTTAAACGTTTTAGTGACCACTGCATTTTTCATTTGAACAAATAGTCCAAGGCAATCGCAAAATTACATTTCTTCTATTCGATCAATGAAGCCAAATTAATGTTGATCTCCTACTACCACACGCTCCATTTTCTTGGCATGAATCAAGCGGTGTTTAGTCTGTGGGCTTCCTAAACACGAGAGAAATGACAGGAAAATGGACGCCCATTGAAGGTTGATATAACAGATGCCCCCAAATAAGTCCAGTGATGCGGTGCATTGTGAATATAGTGCCAAACCAATCGCCGATTTTCTTCCAATGGATTTTGAGATGTGAAATCGCAAATTGGGGTGCTTGGGAGATGTGTCCTTAAGGAACCCCGGTTGTAGGAATTGCCCATCAGGGCCTGCTGCCGGGGATGTTTTACATAAATGGTTCAATCGTGACAGATGTGGCTGAAGATCCCTGCTTGCTCGGTACAGAGTCACACAGGCAGCCGTATTGCTCAAACGTTCAGTCGCGCGCTCGCTTACCTGCGCAACGTGCTTGTATTTACACAGCGCCCCTTCACGCAGGATAGCGTCCCAGAGCACGACACCGAGCTGCGGGGGAAGGGGAGAGGATGAGGTGGCCATAGGCACGGTCAAAGAGGGAGGTCTTTAAGCGTGAGTTGAAGATGAGGAAGGAAGGGGCGAGGGCGGAGGGGTAGAGGGGGAGTGCCAGATTTTCGGGGGTTTGGGATCAGGAGGGCAGTGGGGGGCAGTGGGGGGTAGGAGGCGCGGTCGAAGTAGAGGGTCTTGAGACGGGCCTTGAACTAGACAAAGGGAGGGAGGCCGTGTTCGTGGGAACGTTAGCGGCTAAGATGGCAGATCAGAATTACTGAAGACAGCAAACCGGAGAACAAGCTCTCGTAAGCACGGCACACGCACTCGCACACGCACGCGCACACGCACGCACGCAACTTAAATCGTTTCAGAATTTTTGGGGGGGATAATTCAAAAATGCAGGAGTGACCAAAAAGTCGTGATAACTACCCTGTTATCTAAAAAAAAAACACAATAATGTCATTGTTTCTTTAAGGCTTATTAGACACTGTAATGGTATCGCGGTGTTTTGGTCACCCGGTCGAAACGATTCGGGTATCTGAAACGGACCCCCGGCTTCAGGTTTCTCGTGAGAGAAGCGGTTAAAAGCAGAAAAGTTTTCAAACACAGTGCACTCCGCTGCTCGCACTTACAGTCACGGAACGTGTGGGAATAACCTCCCAACTTAACGGGTTCTGTGTGAAACAAACGGCAAAGGAAACATCACGATAAATAAATGTAGTAGTTAAAAAAAAGTAATCCTTTTGCATTTGACGTCGCGCCTTATCACGTCGTCGAAGACGCTTCGCGGAACGTACAACAACAACAGTGACGTTTGTAAAGCTAAATGATGGGACTGTAAAAAGCGGAGTGACTGTGTGTTTTGTGGGCGCCCACAAACGGTTGTCATATTAGAGGGGATGTGTGGTGCTGTTGGCTTTGAGTCAGAAAGGTTGGGAGTTGAGCTCACAGTCCAGGCTGATGCTCCAGTGCAGCGCTGGGGTGGGGGGGGGAGAGAGAGAGAGAGAGACGCCTTGTTGGAGTTTGGATGAGATGTTGAAGCTCACTCCCCCGTCTGTACCTGTCCAGGTGGACGCTAAGGATCCCGGGACACGCTCGGGAAAAGGGAACTCTCAGGAACTTGCCTGGGGACCCGGCCCGGCCCGGCCCACACTGGGCTAGGCCTCGTCGCTCACCTTCGGAAAGGATTCCGGTCTGTTCCGCCGTGCCTCCCGGCAGGATCCTGGCCACGTACGCTCCCATCTCCCCGTTCCTGGTCGGGATCTCTTTCCCACCGACGATCTTCATCCCCAGCCCATTGCCTGCAAAGCAACGAGAGATAGCGACGTAGCAGCATAGAAACAGGAGGAGGCCATTCAGCCCCTCAAGCCTGTTCCGCCATGCAATTAGATCATGGCTGGTCTGTATCTCAACTCTAATCCTCCCCGCATTTGCCCTGTATAATAATAATAATAATAATAATCCTGGCATTTGATACAGAGCCTTCTCACGTCTGCAAGACGTCTCAAAGCGCTTCATAGGATACACTGTATAGTGTAGTGACTGTGTATTTTGTGAGCGAAACGCGGCAGCCGATTGTACACAGCAGTGTCCCCACAAACAGCCGTGGATTGAGTGACCACATTTTTTTTGGAAGGGTTTATTACCTCTGGAAAAGCAATCGGTCAATCGACTAACAACCGGGTTCCCACTTACTGCTGGTGAACAGAGGTTTTCTGTAACCTAGCAGTGACACATTCCACATCGGAAACTCACTTGGGGCGCGTTCAATATTTTTATGGTGCAGCTTCGTGTAAAAAGAAATGCAAAAAAAAACTCAAGTCAGCTTTTTTTTTGCCAGATAAGGCCCACGGAGTTATGTAGCTCTTTTGTAGAAGCAATCTGGACAAAAATGATATCTCAACAAAGTTACTTATCACGTGTAAATGTATAGCAGCCAAATACGTTTAATTCGCATGTAGATTCTAAATGTGGAGGGAAAAACTGGAGACCCGGAGGAAAATCAACATGACCACGGGGAGAAAATGCAAACTTCAAATATACAGCAGGCGTCAGGGTCGGGATCAAACCCACAACCTCCTGCATACCAGGCGAGGTAGTTATCACCTCGCCACCGCAGCACCCATAAGGAAAAAAACATTGGCAGTGTTGCATGAACACCAGCCAGAGAGAAAAAAACTCGCCACATGTATCACTTACCGGTGAGTCGAATCGATGCATTTTTTAAATCCTTTATATTAAGTTCACTTGCTTGCTTGCGCGCTTACGACCGTGCAAATCTTTCGGTCGTTTTTTAACCCACTTCCCGTGATCCAATCGAGCTGACATTTTGCACACAGACTCGTTGTGCGTGACAATTTATTTTCGTGAAATTTTTTTCCCAAAATTTTACACTTTTTAGGAAAAAATAATTATATTTAATTACCAATTGCTTAATGGTGGCAGGCAATCATCTGACCATAGGTGGCAGCCATCTCAAGCCAGAGGACGAGAGGACTCTAGCCGCCACGCATATAAAGGATTTATAGTGAAAAACTTTGTTTTTACGGGTTAATTTTTAAATCCTTTTTATTAAGTTCACTTGCTTGCTTGCGCGCTTGCGCGCTTACGACCGTGCAAATCTTTCGGTCGTTTTTTAACCCACTTCCCGTGATCCAATCGAGCTGACATTTTGCACACAGACTCGTTGTGCGTGACAATTTATTTTCGTGAAAAAAATTTTCCCAAAATTTTACACTTTTTAGGAAAAATTAATTATATTTAATTACCAATTGCTTAATGGTGGCAGGCAATCATCTGACCCATAGGTGGCAGCCATCTCAAGCCAGAGAACGAGAGGACTCTAGCCGCCACGCATATAAAGGATTTATAGTGAAAAACTTTGTTTTTATGGGTTAATTTTTTTGGCTATGGTTCAGGTTACCCCAAAACCAACTGAACTGATTATTGTTCCATCCGTTCAAAATGGTCACAGAACTTTAACTTATAGTCAACCATCTGCAAAAAAACAGGTTTTAATCACTTTGAATTTGCATATTAGCTCAAAAAATATCAACAACAAATTTTGCAAAACGAAGATCTTCCCTGTAGCCTAAACAATGATCCCCTGCATATTCTATTTTACAATACAGGCTGCATTTTACAATATAGATTACATCGGAGGCTTTATGTTGCTACACTGCCAATGTGCAATGTCTATTTGCAAAGCAGAGAGAGATGTGTTTTAGTTGCTTCAAACACATTTCTGTGTCTTTAACACATAGGCTTTCGCGACCAATATCATCCGTAATAGAGCTTTTTTTTTGGGGTTAGATATATAAATGTGTCATTAAAACCCGCCACAAATCTGTCTGTCACCTGATGAAGCTAGTTGTAATTATTGACGAAACGTCGTACTCGGACTGAAAATGTTGTGGCTTGGCTCTCCAACACACCGGTGTGCTGTACTAGTGACGAATTGGCACGTTCTGTTTACGTGACAACCCTTACTAGTTGGCTGTGTCGGTGGTGGTGGGTTTAACGACACATTTATATATTTACGCGATCTAACGCAAAAAAAAAACATTTCTTTGTGTTGCGAGTTACTGAGACAGCGCTACAGAGAGACAGAGCTACAGAGAGACGAATTGAGATTCCGAGAGACAAACGGACATGGAGAGGGTAGCTTTTTGGTTTCAATCCATTAAAATAAGGCATTAACTCCAGTTTCTAGTTCCGGTTTTTGGTTAATTTAGATTATCTGAAATGAACACTGCCTCGCCATAATAATAGGAATACGTTTTTTTAGATTTAAAGCTTTCGTGACTGCACGGATTCATATTCTAGAAGGGAAATAATAAAAATATAAAAAATATTTTATTATTTCCTTCTACGTGACTTTACCGAAAGAACCAAGAATAGGAAAAAGATTATAATGTAATTTCACTGTGTGAAGGCCTCCCCATGCCTTGTCAGTCATGGGCGTTAGTCAGTGCAGGTTTGTGAAGAGGTGGTGATGGTGCGGAGGGGTTCTCACGATATCACTCGTCACTGATGTCAGCATGGCCAGAAATACAACTTAGATCACCGAATTTGCAGCGCAGTTAGCCGAACAACTGCACCGCCCGTCCACAACAGACGAATATATATATTTATGTTCAACTTCTTTTGCACCGTACATAACCAGCCAATGTAATAGACAGAAGCCAGTAGTGGTGGCGGACATGGTGAATTGGGTTTTTTTGCACTTTGGCCTGCAAATAAGAATGCTTTGCATTTTTGTTGTTTGCATTAGGTATGCATGTGTGAATGTATTTCCTTTGGCTGTGGCACTGTTATTGCCTGCCCTTGGGATGGGTTCCTGGAAGCTGTAATGGCTCTTAGAGAGAGAGAGGGAGGTAGGGAGGCCATACCTATGACATGTGCCCTGGTTTAGTTGGGTTTAATACAGCGTCAATCTTGGGCAGAACCGACTGCGCTGCCTGAAAGCCTCAATTGCATCTCTCTCTCTCTGATGCCAAATTGAAGGATGTTTGTGCCACCTTTGCCTGGCAAACCATACGCGCACACTGATGCGTCTTTTTCACATTGATGCACGCAGCAGGACCTTATAATTCCTGCAGATTAAGTGGCATTTTCTGTTCAGACGCACCTCGTCCACGACTTGAGCTGCAATTATAATATCACAATGCAAAGAGGGATTCCATTACGAATCCTTTCAGTACTTCCAGCTGCAAGTCAAAAGTTATTTTTTATAGATATTTTCATTTTAATATACGGCAGCTCTAGTGACAGCTGCCACTGAGATACATATTGGTGGTGTTGATTGTTATTCGGAGCAACGATGGGCAGCGCTATAAGTGAGCGCTCTTCATTATGCTCGTTGCTTATTTTCTGTCGGAGGCACGCGCGTGCAGAGAACGCAAGTTTAAATTCGCCTGCATTTACAAATAATTGACCATGATCAGATGTCGCCCATCCATCAGGATCTCGCTAAAAGTTAACTGGATGCATCCAAACCCAAATTGTGTTGTAAATGTAATTAAGTCAGAGTGAAATTATGTTGGTGGATGTAAGCGCGGGGTGGGTGCAGTAACTGGCGCACATATCGAAGCGGACAGGCACTGATCTGGAAGGCCCATTTAGTGGCGGAGTTAGCCATGGTGCAGCTGCTTGAAAGGTGAATATTGGTTTGCCATCAATTGCTGCACGAAAAATTACCATATCCCAATGAACTCAATACATTTGTCAATAACACTGCGGCCTGAAAATAAATATTTCTCTAAAATTGGCAACATTTTGAGCAATGGCCCTTCTTCATAGCACATTAGAGTGCTGGCATCAGCTTGTGCGTGTGCAAGAACTAAACGGATTGTTACATCGCGCGATCATGGGGGATGATGACAGATTGGGGAGGTCTTCATTTAGCAGTGGATAGATCATGTGTGTATGTACGTTGAACTTCTTTCGAACCGTACGTAGCCAACTGTGCTAATCGGATGTGCGGGAGAAGGACAACAAATTAAACACAAAAAGCAGTTCTAAAGAAATGAGTTTTCAATCTAGATGATTAAAAAGTGCATAGCTCCAGTGGCTTCCTAATATCGGAAGGAAGAGCGTTCTAGATGGTCGCAGCTCATCTGAATGCACACGATGCAGTGGCCATTTTTGTTCGAGGGCCAGCCAAAAGACGCTGCAAGGATGACCGGAGTTCGCATGATGGTGTATGCTCATTGATGAGATCAACAAGGTATTGTGGTTTATTTGTGGCAAGCACTTTATGTGTAACGAGGGCGACCTTATCATCTATTTGTTCGGCAACCATAAGCCAATGGAGCTCGGCGAGCACTGGACAGACATGGTCGGATCTTGCAGTAAATGGTCGGATCAGATGATCACAATGGCTGATGATCATCTGCTGCGGGCTTATACCATTGAACTCCACCTTAAAGAGAAGATTTACTCTCTATGTGAGATTCATAATTGTATACCTTTTCTTAATCACTAAAAACACATTTTATGGTGAGAGACCAGGTTTTAAAATATATTGTCAGGTTTAAAACTGTGTTCCATAATGCTGTGAAAATAACATAACACATCTAATGAAGACGACGATGAAGCATTGAAGTGCACTAACTCACATGAATTTCATTTAATCAACTAGCGTGTACGTGCTCAATGGCAGCAAGGTCGGTTTGTAGCACCTGTAAATTAAAAAGGGCTTAATAAGCACTGATCGAATGCAGACAGGATATCGATTGGTTTAGAATATATTTGTTTTCTCGGAAAATCAATGGTGATCGTGACCTGGAGTCTAAATGATTTCATGTTTTGCCTTAAAAAAAACAATTACAGTAAAATATCCGAGATTACAACTGCATGGTGCCGACAGGTAGCTGGCAGAATGTTCAACGGTTTTGCAGTTAGCGCGATAATTAATAATTTCCATTTAATACACAGGAAGAAAGACGTGTTTATTTATTCAACACTTTTTCACTTTGCTCTCAGTTACCAATAACAAATGCAATGAGAGTGTGCATGTTTTGCTATCGACAATAATATAACATTGGGGAATGTGTTGGTCTTATTTTTTAAACTATAGGAAGTTGGTTAATTTTATGGTTCATTTACTCTATGCATTGAAAATAAATTCATCACGGTGCACATGTTAGTTTAATGGTGATTGCTGTTGGAAGAAATTGGCTCAGCCACAAGTTAATGGCGATACGTGGTGCAAAATAATTCTTACAATGTCAATTTTAAATGTGCATTGCTGCGTGTCATTGAAATCTACCGGGCATATTGAGCAACAGTTTATAGTTGGAGTAGGCAATGGCTACATCAGGGTAATGACAGGGAATTCTGGAGGTATTGAATGGCCAGTGAGATAATTCCACACCACTTCGGATTTTCACAATTAATGTAGGTATAACAGTTATAATTATCCAGGGAAACTTCACTGAGCATCAATATTTTATCGTGAGGCTGCTCTGTGGGATGTGACCCAATTTAACGAGGTGTGTGGTGTGAAACTGAAATACTTTGAAGGAACGCATGCGTGCACAGGAAGGAGAAAAACAAATAAATAAATTTGGCAGCGCTCAAATAGGTCGGCAACGTATTTGCTCCGCTGCCTCCTGCATTTGATAACACGCTGTTCCAAATCGGGCATATTGCGCACATGATCAGAACACGATTCCCCGACCGCATCTCCGTAGAGCTGGATTATCGTCATGTGCCACCGAACCCGCCCCTCGTTAGCCGTTGAACCGTTTCCGGCGAGAGGAATCGTGGAGCGGTGTGCAGTATTAATTGTGCCCTCACGTCGCACGCCGTGCTCTTGTGAACGAACGCCCCCTTTCATTCCAGATCAAACCCACGCAGCAATCGACGGCGGCGGCGGCAGCGGCGGCCCTGGCTCAGAGCAAGAAAGTCAAGCGGACGCTGCCCAACCCCCCTCCGGAGGACGCGCCGGCACCCAGCTCCGCAAACTCGCTCTCGTTCGTCGCGTCCATCCCGCGCAAGCGAATCGGGCGCACGAGCACCATGGCCCGTGCCAAGCTCATCCAGGACATCGACCGCGAGCTCGAGATTGTGGAGAAGGAGTCGTCGAAGCTGCGCAAGAGGCAGGCGGAACTGGACGAGGAGGAGAAGGAGATCGACGCTAAGCTGCGCTATCTGGAGCTGGGCATCAACCGCAGGAAAGAGGCCCTGCTCAAGGAGAGGGAGAAGCGAGAGAGGGCTTATCTCCAGGGCGTGGCGGAGGACCGCGACTACATGTCAGACAGCGAGGTCAGTAACATCCGTGGCACCGTGGCGGAGGGCGGCCGCCAGGGCGAGCGGCCAAGGACGGCGCCGCAGCACCAGTACGCCCAGTACCTGGCTCCGAACGCACGCCACTCGCTCAACATCGAGTTCTCGCACACCCCCGGCGCCACCACGCAGCCGAGTAATTCGTACCTGCAGCAGGCGCCCTACCAGCCGCAGCCGCTTTATCAGACTCAGCCGGTCCCCTATCGGTCACAGGCCGCAGGCTACAGCACGTTGGAAGCGCACCGCCCCGCGTACCAGACGACGAGCCACCAGACCATTTCCACAACGCAGGCCGGGTATCAGACCACCAGCTACCAAACCCTGCCGATGCACCAGTCGGGCTATCAGACCACCCCTTTCCCTACCTTGGGCGGCCACCTAGCTGGTTATCAGGCCACAAGTTTCCAGCCGATGCCCAGCCACCAGGCAGATTACCTGACCACCACCTACCCGACATTGGGAAGCCATCACGCTCCCTACCACACGACGAGCTTCCAGATGGCCACGGGCCCTCAGCCTGGGTATCAAGCCACGCCGGGCACGTCCTACTATGCGCAGGGCCACACGATGCACCCGCACCACCAGCCGCACTTCGCGCAGAAGCCCCGGCATTCCCAGCTGATCAACTTGGACCCCAAGCTGAAGGCCAACTACGAGTTGCTGCAGCAGAGCCACCCTCTGCTAATGTCGCCCACGTCGGCGGTCGAGATGTACGACAACCTTGACCTTCGGCTGGCGCTGGAGGAGAGGGGAAGCATGGCCAGCAGCCCCATGTCGAGCATTTCCGCTGAGTCATTCTACGCAGATCTCGAGCACCAGGCGGCGCGCAACTACGTGATGATCGACGACATTAACGAGCTCACGAAAGGCGCGGCCATCGGGGGCACGTTCAGCTTGGGGGGCACGCACAGAGTGGAGCGTCGCTACCATCACTCCAGGGACCCAAAGAGGATGTCGGACATCAGCGACTACATAAGCACGTCGAGCACGCCGAGGTCACACATGCACAGGAAAATCGACGACGAGTCGATGAAAGATCCCTACGAGCTCAAGCTGTTGAAGCAGCAGATTAAGCAGGAGTTTCAGAGGGGGTCTGACCCTCTGGATCACTTAGGAACCGCCACGCTCTACCATGGCGACGTGAAATACAGGCACCCCTCGAAGTCAGATCGCTACAGCATCGGCAGGATCACATTGGAAAAGGAAGCTGCGAAGCAGCTGATGCCGGCCGTTGTTTCGAACAAGCAGCTGAAATCCAGAAAGCTGGGCGTCGAGCATAGGGTCTCCAAGTTCTCTCCAATTGAGGAAGCCAAAGACGTCGAGTCTGAATTTCCCTCCTATTTAACCACGACTCCGGCCACGGAGGCGGCATCCACCGTTGTGATGCGAGCCAAGAAGCTGCAGGGAGACATCACGTACGGCCTCAGGAAGAATATCCAGGAGCAGCAGAAGCTCTCGGTGCTCACGACGAGGGGACACACGAACGAGCTTGACTTATTGAGCAGCACCGGCACTCGCTCTCGGCCAAGGTCGGTGTACAGCCTCGAAAGCAACCGATCGCGACCGTCGTCCGTTTATGGTCTGGACGTCACAAGATCTCGGCCCGCTTCAGTCTACAGCATGGAGAGCACCCGCTCAAGGCCCACGTCTGCATACGGCCTGGAGGACAGCAGGTCGAGACCCTCGTCTGTGTACGGTATGGACAGCAGCAGATCCAGGCCGACGTCCGTCTACGGGCTCGACTGCAGTAAATCGAGGCCATCGTCCATTTACAGGATGGAAGGCGCCGGTTCTCGGCCCTCGTCCGTGTACGGCATCGAGCTGACCCGCTCCGGCCATCGTCGGTTCACGGGCTCGACCTGACCATGACTAAGCACGAGCTGCAGGCCGCGGCGGCGGCGACGACGGGGGCCAAAGATGGCGACGCGCTGGACATGAGCTCGTACGTGCCGGGAGCCGCCGGGGTGAAACTGAGGTGCAAGCCGCCCAATCTCATCATCAGCCAAAGCAAGGGGAGGATCCCCATCGTAGCCCAGAACTCGGAGGAAGAGAGCCCTCTGAGTCCCGTGGGCCAGCCCATGGGCATGGCGCGGGCGGCCGCGGGGCCCCTGCCGCCCATCTCAGCCGACACGCGTGAGCAGTTTGGCTCAAGCCACTCGCTGCCCGAAGTGCAGCAGCACATCAAGGAGCTGCACCGGCGTAGCTACGACCGCGACGTGGCGTACATCCTGGACGACCTGCAGCACGCCATGTCGGACAGCGAAGGTAACTGAGCGGGGGGAATGTGTGCCGCGCCAGACACGGCTCTGCCGCCCGAGGGCACGGATGCACGCGGATGGGTCAGCGACTGCTTCAAATGCCACCCTGGATGTGCTTTTTTTTTTACTTTCTCTGTGTTTTGCTTCTTTTTTCCTTTTTTCTTCTTCCTGTTTTGCTGCTGGACTGCATGCGCCTCCTCAACAAATCTGCGGATCGGCGTGTGTGCAACGTTTAGTTGCGCATGACTACAGCGAAATTACTTTGGACAAACTTTCATTCGATTTGAAAACAAAGCACAAGCTACCTCATATGAAATGCAAGAATTGCTGAAGAAAAAAACGCGATCATTCATGCTGCAGATTTTTATTTTTTTTCTCTGTTGTATTTAAAAAAAATATACTTGAAAATATGTCTTCACACCACTTTCTTTTTGTTACTCTCTATTCTTTTGCATGCTCTTTTATATATATACGTGCACATTTTTTTTTACCCCGCCATGGATTTTTGCATGAACCAATCACGCCACGGATCTGCATGCGCGCCCTCCCAGATTGGAGGTGTCCGTTTTGCGTGTGCTCGCGCAACGCGGCTCCGTTACCGAGGACCGTGCCCCCGTCCCCACTTACCCCAGAGCTCCGTTTTGACTTTTTAAAGCATACCACTTGAGGCGTGAAGACACCAACTGGTTCGATAAGCCTCGTGACTCGTTCCATGAAGATCACTCCAAAAGCAAGCATGGAGGATACCACCCCTTGCAGGTGAGTACAGTGAGCGTTTGTGTAGAGCACGCGCGCGGTGTCTGGTGTGCGCTTCGCGTTGGCCCAGCAGACCTCATGTGCCTACCGATGCCGTGATCCCTTTAATGCCACACTAACTAACCCTGCTTAGGAGGAAGTCTCGTGTGGGCTGCAGACTGGCGCTGGTGCTAACTCCTCAGAGAATAAGCTCCGAAATCAGCACTGAGCCCAGAAGAGTCGCCAAGCGAAAGTCGATCGCAGGAAGAAAAAAAAAATTCTGCCATAAAAATCTATTGCGAATGTAATTTGAATTTCATCAACAATGAAGATCAATTCTCATTGAAATTGACCACCTCTGCGTACACAGTGTACAGCAGCTTTGTCACCACAATCTCACACTACATCAATATTGGACCTATATTGAGCCTACATGGTCAGTGCGATGGGTAAAACCAGGTTAAAGTTAGGGCTTGATGAGCATGTGCACCCCTATACGAAGGGGCTACCTGAGCTGTTTTCACTTTCGTGAAATGTGATGAGACTGATAAAGCCCACCAATAGATGGGCGGTGAAAATGAGAAGCTTTAAACTTTGGTGGGAGAGGGGTGATGCTCCTCAAAGGGCAACAAGGCATGTGTGGTACAGGAAACATAATTGGAATATGGCCATTCATCCTTATAACTGGTCCCATTCCAAGGCAGCTACATCGCCAATATCCTATATGTATTGGCTTTTGTGCTTTGACCCCAATGGTCATGGTGGCGAAATGTTATCTACCTCGCCTGGTGTGCAGGAAGTCGTGGGTTCGATCCTGACAATGACGCCTGCTGCTGTATATTTGGATTTTGCATGTTCTCGCGGTCGCGTGGATTTTTCTCCGGGTCCTCCAGTTTTTCCCACCACATTTAGAAATATGCGTTTAGAGTATTTGGCTGCTGTACAATTCCACATGATAAGCCAATTCGTTCAGCACTCATTTGTGGCCAGGTCGCTTCTGAAAAAAGAGCTATATAGCCCAGTGGGCCTGACCTGGTAAAACAAATTTAAAAAAAAATGACTTTAGAAACGACATTTAAGTTGATGTTTGCACGTCAATTGTGCTCCCTGGCTAAATATGCACACGTGTATATAAATCATCATCAGCCATGATTTATCACCTGCTGGATAAAGCCATCCCTAAGCCATCTCCATCCCTTATGGTCTTGCAAGGCAAATATATATGTATATACACACAGAAGCTAAAATGTATAAATGGTTTGCGCTGTGGTATGAACCCAACAATTTTAATTTGATTCCTGGCCACAGCTGATATCTGAACCAATCCTCGGTTGCACCCGCGTCAAGAGCTGCATGGCTCACAGGGTTATTCCTAATAAATGAAACTGAAACTGAATCCTATCAGTTCCCCCTCCCTTCAATGTGCGCTGGCCTGCGTAGTGAAGTATATTCACATGACCTCCAATGAGCTGCGTGGCATCGGGAGGCATTCATCCACCCAGCAGTACAGTTTACTAAAAATGCTCTGTAAATGGTCACAATTATCACGTGAAACATTTGGGCCCTACATATAACCCACACGCACATGTATTATGTAACACACGTGCATTAAATTTCGATTTAAAGCTTTCGTGACTGCAGGGATTCATCTTCTTGGTTCCTCGGTGAAGTCACGTAGAAGGGAAGTAATAAAATAATAAAAATAAAACATAAAATATAATTCTCACGACGTTTCGGCCACAACGCAAGCAGCCGTCCTCAGGTGAAGACCAGGTCTGTCGAGGCGACAGCGTCTAAATGAAACGATGTGCCTTGTCAGATCAGACACTGTCGCCTCGACAGACCTGGTCTTCACCTGAGGACGGCTGCTTGTGTTGTGGCCGAAACGTCGTGAGAATTATTTTATTATGTTTTATTTTTATTATTTTATTACTTCCCTTCTACGTGACTTTACCGAAAGAACCAAGAAGACACGTGCATTATGTAACATGTGCGTAAAACATGTTTGTTTATTAATGCCATCTAGGTTGCGCTCTTTTGGCGATCAGGCTTTTGTTAGCGTGGCACCCAAAGCTGCTGGACGCCTTGCAACTTGAAATCAGGAAATCAGAGTCGGTAGATATATTTAAGTCTCCTTTGAAAACCCATCTCTTTAAACCGGCCTTCCTTTAGTTTGGTCGGTTGTCCTGGTTCTGTTTTTGTATCCTGCTTTCCGTGCATTGCGCATTGGGATCCTAGGATGAAATGCGCATTCTCCATTTGAATAATTATTATAATTATAACTCTTGCAACGTGAATCACGTTAGGCGCATTGGATCTCCCTTGCTTTCTTGGACGTTTCTGTAGCGCCGTTGTCACCGCACGCACGCACGCTATAACCCACCGTTGCCTGCGGTCGCGCCGCGCTGAACGATGTGCCTTGTCAGATCAGCGACCCCCCGCAGAGCTACGATTTCCCGCACGCCAGAGTGCAGCTTCAACAAGACGCCAAGGACCACAGCATGTCAGGTGGCCCGACTATAGCTCTCGTCCTGCTCCTAGCCATGACCCGGAGGCGGACCCTGGGAATTCTGCATTTCGAACCAGCTGTCGTTCCTCCACTGACGAGCCGATGCTGCAAACATTGCCACCCCTCGATCATCAATAGACTGGAATGATTTTTCGCTCGGCAACTTTGTGGCGGGGAGAGATTGTTTATTTTTGTTGTTCTAAATAGCGGTGACGAGCCCACAGTTTGGCGCATGGTAGCGAGCGGTGGTGCAGTGATTATGTCCCTGGTGACCTGGATTTGATTCCCTGCAGTGAATAAAAATCGGTGAAATGTGGCACCTCAAACTGTCATGGGCCTCTGCTAAGTCACTTGAGCTATGAATGAGTACCCGGATGGTGCGCAAATGTCAGCAGTTGGAAGTCAAAAGACGGCAAGTTATGGTGCTGCCCAAATAACCTGCATGTGCATCGCACTGGCATTAATAGGTATTCGCCTACAGCCCTCGCCCGAACAGTCTATAATGTTAAATAAACAAAAACTCAACACATTCATCAATAACACTGCTTAAATAGAAAACATAATATGCGAGATTGTGAGCAATGACCCAATGGATATTTTTCACAGCACTGGCCACCCTATGTGCTGTGAAGAAGGGCCATAGCCCAAAACGTAGCCTTAGTGTCCGCATTTTCTTTTCAAGCAGCGTTATTTGACGAGTGCGTTGAGTTTGTTGTGGCTGTTGTTGTGTTACTCGTGTTGTGCGCCACTGCCAGCACAGTGTGCACAAACACCCTTTGTCCGCGGTTGATGGCACTTCAAAAATAATATTTGGTATGGGTGTATCAACATCAACTTTCAACGGTGACAAAGACAGCCAGGCATGGTCCTTACCATATTACTCCACCATGTGCCATATGCTCTGCTGGCCTTAATAGCTGCGTTCTACCTGTACCTGTTTGATCTGTATGTGTGCTGCTTCTTCATTTTGAAATTGAGAGGTTGTTGATCAAAGTTTGCCAGCCAAACATTGTCTTAAATACATAATGCAGAATATGCTATAATGGTGATCAGATGCATATAATTATAGATTTTTGCTCTTGTTTTGTTGTTGTTTAAACACTCCGGGGCCAGATTGATATACCCAAGCAGAAAGAGGCAGCAGAACAAATCCCATTTTTGTAGCACAGCTTATGGGATGGCAGTAAATGGGCACTGGCAGCTGTGGTGCTGCTCGAGAAGTCATTGCCATGTACTCCACGCTCTATTTTGCTTGGCACCACGCAATTATTGTCCCATACTGCATCCACCCATTAACTCGAATGAAGATCCGTCTGCTGGTAATTACTTTTGCAAAATTAGCAAATAACACCTTTTTGGGCCCCCCTCCCCGCCATAAATGAGTGAATGAATTGTAATGCACGGCTGAATGCAGTGCAGGAAGATCTGCTATGAGAATATTAGACGTGGCATATTTGACTGCATAATACATACATTTTACAAAAAAAAGCTATACAGCTGTACAGTCTGCCCTCTGGCAACTAAGCCTGGTTTCAAGCTGTCACGCAGACAATACTTTGTAGATACGCTCAAATGTACGCCTTCTTCAATGTTAGCTTTGATGATGCAAGAATAAAAATGCACTGCCTTAAGAAATTCATTGCAGGACACCTGGCTGTGAGATTGTTGACCTGCCAGGTGCAATGTGTTTTATGCATGAAAACTCAAGAGATAGAGAGATAATTACTCATCTGTCATCAGCATGCATCACCTGCTGGAGGTTTGGCTGTCTTGCTAAGGAAGCAAGCTGCTCTGCGTGCAGGGAACGGACTTGGCGTCCGAGTCGTTGGTGGGAAAGAGGTTCCGGGAAGAGACGGGGAGATCGGCGCGTACATCAGCAAGATCCTGCCAGGAGGCGCCGCTGAGCATTCTGGAAAGCTCGCAGAAGGTGGGCAACGGTGCTCATTCTCTAAGACACAGATGGATCAGAGAGAGAGAGAAAAACTGCCGTAGTTATTTGATGTATTACTTGCCAATGAAACACCGAGCAAGCGTTATAAATGATGTGCTATTGCATTCCTCTTTTTGTACTCTAAATGAATATGATGAATATGATGTTGTTAAAGAAGCGTAGTACAAAGGTGGTAAAGGTGCAGCCCTGCAATTACTCGCTGGCACCACTGCTGTCGGGAGGGCCTTTGATATAGAAAGCTCTAGAGATCCCTGCAGAAAGGACGTTTTGGTCTACTCTTCCAAACTTGTTTCAGCTGCCACGCCAGGAGATCGATTGCAAGGCCACCTTAGCAGCATGGTCAAGACAATTTTAGAAAATCACCATCATTATTTAAAATATGATAAAAAAATGTTTAAGAAACTTTCAAGCAAAATAAGCAATGTATTATTACTTCCCTTTTCTCAGTATTTATAAACTAAATGAATTCGATGTTAAATGTGCCTCGTTTTAAATTGTATTACATTGCAGTCGATTTCTTTGGCTAAACGATTTGCAATCAATAAATCAAGGCCAAGTCTGGCACTTAATTTATTCAACAATCTCACATTTTACCTCAGTGTTATCAGCACAGTATGTCAACCTATATTGATGTGTTCAATCAAGCAAAACAGTTTCACCTACGTGCTGCGGTTTTAAATTACCTGATTTGAATGTGGTGCATAGCACATGTGTGCGACGAGCATCCCGTGGTCAATGTCGAGTAGAATCTGCTTTCTGCAATTTATCCAGCATCAGCTTGAACTCTGTACCACGTTGAAATGTCTACAACTCAGACTCTTGTCGCATCAGGCTCAGCTGATGACTGCTTGGGACGCCGGGCGGGCAGTCGAATTAAAGTAATCCTCGCCGAGCACGGTTTGTTATATTCAGGCCACAAATTGTTCCTGTGATTATCATAAATCAATTACATATTGATCATTGAGGGGAGGGTGGGGAGGAGCTGGGTGGGGAGGGTGGGGCTGGGCGGGGAGGGGAGGGTGGGAGGGGCTGGGTGGGAGGGTGGGGAAGGGCTGGGTGGGAGGGTGGGGAGGGTGGGGCTGGGTGGGGGGTAGGAAGGTGCGCTGGGTGGGGAGGGGCTGGGTGGGGAGGATGGGGAGGGGCTGGGTGGGTGGGTGGTGGGAGGGGTGGGGCTGGGTGGGAGGGGCTGGTCACCCCGTGGTGCCCTTATAAAACTCAACGTTTAACCTACTCACACCGGCTTGTGCCCGCCCTCACAGTCGGGCATATTTGCGGAATACACCACGCCGCCGTTGACCCTGGCCATTGACCCTGGCCATTGACCGAGCAATCCAACGTTCCTACCAGCTCCCTCCGCAGGAATGTGTTTGTTTTATTGCTGTTAAAGTAGTTACTGTCTAATACCGTTTAACGTTTCTGAATTTAATCCTTTTTTTTTAATTACATGTGAGGTAAAATACGAGGTAATGTTTTGGCAACTGAATTGCAGCAGGCATATTTCAAGTAATTTACCTTTGTTAATCATTAAATAGCACTGTCTTAAGTCAAACATAAATTAGCCAATGTGTTGGCTTATGGGCATTTTCAGAACAATAAAAAAAATGTGATTTATAGTTTGTGGCAGCTTGTACAATGTAGTCTCTCAATAACACGTTGATTTCTATTAATTGTTTGGTGAATAGCAAGCACAAGGTGGCAGGTGTCTTCAAACACCTGTGTAATTGGTGTCTTAACACACCAGTGCCATAAACACTGCCAGGGGAAGAACCACCACCTCATATCGTAGGCAACAGAAGGGGCTCAGTCCTGTGTTTATACCTGGTTGAGACTGCTCGTCAGTATAGATTTCGATTTAAAGCTTTCGTGACTGCAGGGATTCATCTTCTTGGTTCTTTCGGTAAAGTCATGTAGAAGGGAAATAATAAAATAATAAAAATAAAATACAATTCTCACGACGTTTCGGCCACAACGCAAGCAGCCGTCCTCAGGTGACGAACAGGTCTGTCGGAAAGACAGCGTCTGAATGACAGACCTGTTCTTCACCTGAGGACGGCTGCTTGCGTTGTGGCCGAAACGTCATGAGAATTATTGGAAATTATGTTTTATTTTAATTTTTTTATTATTTCCCTTTTACGTGACTTTACTGAAAGAACCAAGAAGATGCTCGTCAGTACTTGATCCGGTGTTTTTCTGCTCAAGCTGTGGCATAAATCTCGCGGATGAATAATCTCATACTATAATCATCATCCTGAATCTATGCTTCTCGTTCAAAATAATCCAATAATGTTTTTGTTTTGTTTCCCCCCCCCCCTCTCTCTCTTTGAGCGGTGTCAATTGTGAGCGTTACACTAGAATGTTCTGCTTGGCAGTGGAATAATCGTATTACGTCTCTAATTTAGAACAATATTGCTGTAACAGCATTAGGGGCTGTAATTCAATTTCACTGCACGGCCCTCTTCATGCTTTGAGATGGCATTATAATTTCTGAATGTTGCATATTAAAGAAGAACTATATTTCTAGGGAGTATGTGCACGCGTTGCCCGAGCAACAGTGGCCAGCAGTGTCAGCGAAATGGCCGTTCAGGGGAAGAGGCTTCGCCTTGAAGGTTACGTTCGGAGGAATGCCCCCGGTATTTTAGACCAGTGCGCTTGGCGATTTGACTCCATACCCTCGCGAATTTATTTAAAAACAGCAACAAAAACGGTATTAAATCTGAGATGGTTGTGCAAAACATAAATCATTCTAAGGCATTTCTGTGAGGTGGAAATTGCTCGTTTGCAAGCTCAATGTAAACCGATTGTGGCAGTGTAACATTTTTCATAGTGCAACATTTGAAAAAGCTTTGCGAAATAACAAAATAGTGAAATTAATTTCCAGAAATTCTACTCAGCTTTGTGGTGGCTGGGTTCTCACGGTGTGCTGGTGTGTCTACTGTCTGATATATCGAGGGCTTTTTAATCACATTTGGCAGTGGATGCAGCTTCATGTGCCGATGTTCAGTGGTGTTCATAAAATTGCTGTGAAATTAATGGCTCGCGTCACGAATAAATAAAGCTCAGACGACTGCAGCGGGGGGGGGGGGGGTGAAAAAAAATCACTAATAAAATGTTCATCTCGTTTGAAATATTTTTAGCCAATACGGCATGGATGTCGCCTTTAATTTCAAACAGCGTGTTCTACATAGCCATGGTGCTGCTTGGTCAAAATCTTATATTTTTTGGTATTTCACATGGCATTTATTTCAAAAGTCTGTTGCTTTTTGTGTTTCGTTTGTTGTCCTTCCCCCGCACCTCCGATTAGCACGGTTGGCTACGTACGGTGTGAAAGAAGTTCAACATACATAGACAATTTCTGCGCTGATATTATACTGTATAGTCATGTCCTTAATGAGGACAACCAATTAATTTGATATAAAAATTACCCCCTTGTTGGTAAAATACGTCCTCGCTTATATAAGTAAACACCACTGTACTGATTTTCCGCTTAATTCACTCTTGCCATGCACCTGATTACAATCATTATGCCCAATTACTTTCTCATTATTCGGACGCGCAATCAGACATTGCCAGGAAACGTTTGATGCACAAACATATCTTAGGCGGAAACATGCTCAGTACCGCCAGAATGTGTTGGGTGATTGGTTCCCAAAAATACACAAAAATCAGGCCAGTTCTAGAGACGCATTGAAATCACCGTGGTGATAGATAAACTGTGTTTGCCCTTTTCACCCTGCACACCTACAGTACATCCACATTCTTTTCAACACTATTTGTAACCCTAATGCTGAAGCTGCACTTAAGACAAATCAGTACTTTCTCCTGCCAAAGATTGGTTCAAGCCAGAATGTGAAATGTATTTATATTCTATATATGAACCTAGCAAACTGAATTGTATTCCTGACCACGGCTAACATCAGTGGCAAGTGATATCTAAAAGAGTCCTGGGCCCACCCCCCTGCACCAACCTGCACTGACCAGCCTGGGTGAAGTATGGTCAAAACTACCCCATTGACGAACACGGCGTGGGAAGGCCTTCATCCAGCAGCGGATTAACAAAGAGCTGGACATCATTATCATTATGTAGGGTCGTATCTTACAATAATAATTGTTGTGTAACCTGGGTTTCAAGGAAGTAAAAGGTGCTCCCAACTGAGGCACCAATACCACATCCCACGTCAATAAATGTTCCTTAAAGGTCTCCAAACCGAGACCTACCCAGAGGTAAACTAACATCATAAAAGCTGATGAGGTCAGGCCCCTAAGGTGGTATGGATGTAAGTGACATTGTTTTTAATGGCCCATATGTATTAACTTTGTGTCCCTGTAGAGACACACACCTCAGTGAGAAATCATGCAGAGACACCTTGCAATGGCTTGCCATGCGTTGTATGGGTCACCTCTCGTTGACATTGTCTGATTTTAACATTGCCATTCAACGTGTAAAGTGGCCTGCGTGCTTGTCTTCATATCCCGGCATCATTGGTTCTTGCCTTTGACCTTTTTCTACACCCGATTGGTAATTTCCTAGGGGAGGGAGGGGACGGAATGCATCGCAGTATGAAAGCTGCGAGCTGACCTTTTAACGGGACCTTCCCACCAAGGCAGCCTGTTGAACTTCGCCTCCCACTCAGTGTTTGCGGGCGTCCGTGGCGACAGCATAAACATTTGCTGCGAGGGAGCTACACAGCAGCTTCGCGTAATAAATACAACACATTGTCCTGCTGAGGGAGCTGGTAGGAACGTTGGTTTGCTCGGTCAATGGCCAGGGTCAACGGCGGCGTGTGTATTCCGCAAATATGCTCGACTGTGAGGGCGGGCACAAGCCGGCGTGAGTAGGTTAAACGTTGAGTTTTATAAGGGCACCACGGGGTGACCAGCCCCTCCCCACCCAGCCCCACCCCTCCCACCCGCCACCCAGCCCCACACTCCCCACCCAGCCCCTCCCCACCCTCCCCTCCCCACCCAGCCCCTCCCTCCCCACCCAGCCCCTCCATACACGACGGATGGACACAATAATCCCCTGATGCAACACTGTTTTTATTCGGAGAATACAGTACATGTTCTGGCCACTCCTTATGAATAAAACAATAAGTGGTAGGCTGGTGGGTGAAAGTGTAAATTTGTTTGAAACTTAATTATGAGTTGTGCTGTTGATAAAAAGCTTATTAATTAAGCTCAATGTTACTTATTATGTTGAGGCTATTCCCAAACCGGTTGTCGCTAATGTTTATTTTGCTGTTATTATTGCTGGCTGCCACGCTCAGACATTGTGTTCACCGAGGTAAAATTTGCCTGAAGTGATGAATAATTAGTTTTAATGTCATTGCCACGAATAAACAATAGCGCACTGCCTGATCTTATGCTACTGGCAGCTACCCCATAGGCCACATTCATTGTCATCGTACTCACCTTTTAATTTTAGTTATGCCGTCTCTAATTTATTTAACATAAATACTGTTTGAGAATTATTTTCACCCTTCACCCTAAACGCCAATTGAATAAATGTAAATTATGTAAATGAGTTACCATTACTCCACACATATACATATTGCTGCATTTTTGGTTAATTCAGTTTTAATATTATTACACATAACTTCCACTCTATTAGGTGCTTTACGATCATTATCATTAAGTCATCATCAATATTATTAAAATGATGACCTACATAAGCCGTGACATTATTTTTCCACGATGTATTATTTTCCACGTTATATCATAGTAAAGTTTCACTCGTTTTAATAGCCCTAACGAGTTAACAATCAACTCGTAGGGAAACTTTCCCAATGGGAAGAAATGTACTTTTTACCCCATAAATTAATTCCTTATTAACAAGAGTGCTGTGCTCTGAGTGTTTTTGCAGATTAACTTAAACGTTTTAGTGACCACTGCATTTTTCATTTGAACAAATAGTCCAAGGCAATCGCAAAATTACATTTCTTCTATTCGATCAATGAAGCCAAATTAATGTTGATCTCCTACTACCACACGCTCCATTTTCTTGGCATGAATCAAGCGGTGTTTAGTCTGTGGGCTTCCTAAACACGAGAGAAATGACAGGAAAATGGGACGCCCATTGAAGGTTGATATAACAGATGCCCCCAAATAAGTCCAGTGATGCGGTGCATTGTGAATATAGTGCCAAACCAATCGCCGATTTTTCTTCCAATGGATTTTGAGATGTGAAATCGCAAATTGGGGTGCTTGGGAGATGTGTCCTTAAGGGAACCCCGGTTGTAGGAATTGCCCATCAGGGCCTGCTGCCGGGGATGTTTTACATAAATGGTTCAATCGTGACAGATGTGGCTGAAGATCCCTGCTTGCTCGGTACAGAGTCACACAGGCAGCCGTATTGCTCAAACGTTCAGTCGCGCGCTCGCTTACCTGCGCAACGTTTCTCAACCTGAGGCTCCATTCCAGTGGGAGGGCAGTGGGGGGAGGGTGCTGTTGACCAATACAATTTGTGACGCATGAACAAAAAACCCACGTTACTCTTTGAATGTGATGTGACATCTGTCATTTATAATAATTGTTTTGTAGGTGATTTCCCCCCCACCCCCCATTGCAAATTGAGTGCCAGTCTAGCGGAAAATTTACCGACCTTTAATCAAGAAACATATTTAGAATGCAACAAAGCTGGGCCTCTATGTAATGGTATTAATTTGAATCTAAATATAAGTAAAGTTCAAGGCACAGCCGTGTAATTACTCACTCACGCTACTGCTGGCAAAAGGGCCTCTGTAAGAGAAAGCTTCTGGAGAGCCCCGGTAAAGGAAATGTTTTGGTCTACTCTTCCAAAACTGGGCAGACGTCTTGGACAAAGTAGGAGTTCCCACAATTTGACCTCAGCACACGTGACCTACTGATCGACTAACTGTGGTTGCGCCCATATGTACTGCTTGGTGGACAGAAGCCAAGTGATTTAATTAACTTGCACCATTGTTTCAATTGCCAGTCTGGGAGGAGGATTGCAAGAACCGGCAAGGTCTGAATTGCGCTAGAACCATCACACCATGGCAGCATCAATGTTATGAATTACAATAATAAGACCAACTTCTTTTAATTGATGGTGAGGTCTGCACAGAAATAAATTTAGATAGCATAGTTCTCTCTGCTGTGTTTAGGTCTCTAGTTCTTAAACAGGATAATTTAATACCATGAGGCAGTTGCAATAATGTAGCATTGTTATGATTAAATGCCCATCTTTAATAAGTGGAATTGCATTAAGTAGTTGTTTCTATTGTCCCGCCAGGTCATATAAACTGCCTTCCTTGTCTGGAATTCTGTCAGATTGCTTTTCCAAATCGGCAAATGCAGTTTTGGCATTCCATTACAGTGCTTGGAAAACAAATTACATTGTGGCATTTTGTGTACACGTTCTTAAGTTTAAAGCGTTAGGACACTTTGAAAGAGACCCCTTTAACACAAACACGCAACACAAAGTTGGGTGGAGCCAGCAGATTGTTTGCTTGCTAATTTCGATTGTGTAATAAATCTCCGCATCAGCGACCACATTTTGTTGAGTGCCCTGCCTCATACCACAACATTAATCCGCCTGGGTTAAATTAAAAATCTATTTTAACAGATAGCTTTGCATCATTTTTTTTCTCCCAATGTAAGTTCATTACCCTTCCACTGCGCCACAGCATAATGCATCACCGTTTCCAAAGAACCCATTTTTAAATTGGGCACTTTCCATGAAATTGTCCAAAACCCATTTCACTTGGACGATAGCCGAAGAAAATAATTACTTACAAAGGTTAAAGGGGATGGAGGAAATAATGTCACATAAATATTCTCCTTCCAAATGTCCAGCACTGATAAATAGACGCTTTTCTTGGAGTGGGAGGGTTATTTTTCCACTTTCCAGTGCTATTCGCCCGAGATGCTCACAAAGGACTGATTTCTAGAGAACACGCTGCGCAAGACTTCATGCGTGAATATCTGCGCGCAGCAAAGCCCTGAGGTGGATCGACAGTTGATGACAAATCCACTCTTTGCTTGCAGGTGTTTGCGTTCACCCCTGCTGTGGCAGGATATATGTAAAGAGGCCTAAAAATATACGTCTCAGAAGGAACACACGGCCACAATGCTTTCATCAGTGAACCTCGATAAGGACATCTGTAAAACCGTATGTATATTTGTAATATTAAATAAAAATGTATATTAATGGGGAAAAATATATATTTGACTGGCATTTATGTGCAGTTGCTTCATTTAAGATACAAATTACCAGGAAATGGAACATCAAACTAAATAGTTTAGTGCAATATGTGAACGGTGGTGAGATACTGTTTGAGAAAAAAAGCTTACAACCATCCAGCACGCTGGGCGTTATTTCCTATGCCATGGCACAGTTATGTCAGGGATTGCTTTACGGGAGTGAAACCTAAAACAACTGTCTTTGCAATGCGTGTGAGTGTGGGGAGCGGTGGTGTAGTGGTTAACGCACTGCGCTACGAACCCGGCGTCCCGAGTTTGAGTCCCGCTTACGGCCAATATCGGTGAAGAATATCAGAAATGGTCCTGGGCCTCCTCTAGGTCGACTCAGCCTCAAATTAGTACCTGGTGCAGTGTGTGATCATCGCCACTATGGAGACAAAGGCTAGCGTGGTGCTAGCCACTCACCCCCTCGTGTGCCGTGCCGGCCTTCATAGGTGCTCGCTAACAGCACTTGCCCCGATAGTCTGTTAAGGCTATACGGGGGATCTTTGTCTTTGCATGTTGAATATGAGGTCACTGAGGTCACTGAATTGAATAAACTATAATAATATGCTGTACATAGCATTAATAGACGAGGATTTATGTGTTTATGAGTTATTATTCACTTACCTTCACGCTCGCTTATTATTATTGATGTGTTCAATTCAGCGACCTCAGCTTAACAAGGACTGTGCCAAAGTTTTGACGAGATGTTAAGCACACGCGCGCGCCCTCACGCGCATTGCAGAGACAGCTGCTTGAGGATTCGCGACCCTAAAGCAATTGATGCTGTGCATAGAGCATCGATGGACTGAGGAATTTGAGATATTATTACACGCAGTGACATTTTGATCGTTCATCGTTACGCTCCGTTTATAGGACGTTGACGTGGACGTTGCCGAAGTGCCGCTCGCCCTACGGTGTACCTTCACCTGCCTGGCCCCCCCCCCTCATCCTGCACCCGTCCCCTTGGCTCCTCCCCCCTCCTCTTCCCCTAATTTACCCGTTCCCACAGTGACCCCGCTTACGTCACGGGGTATCCCTTAAATACCCTAGGAGACGTGACGTCATCGCACTGAACGGTACACCTGACGTCACGTCCCCATTTTACTCCTCTACATATTAATGCCCCATCACAAATAACTCCCACTACAGTTCATCTTCTTGGTTCTTTCGGTAAAGTCACGCAGAAGGGAAATAATAAAATAATAAAAATAAAACATAATAAAATACAATTCTCACGACGTTTCGGCCACAACGCAAGCAGCCGTCCTCAGGTGAAGAACAGGGCTGTCGGAAAGACAGCGTCTGAATCCCTGCAGTCACGAAAGCTTTAAATAAAAATCCCACTACAGTTATTTTGCTGTGCCTTTTTTACACCTGACTAAGGAAGCTTGTGTTGCCTCCGAAACGTCATGATTTATTATTTTATTTCTATTATTATTATTTCTATTATTTTTATTATTTATTTTTATTTTTACCTACGTGACTTTACCGAAAAAAATCCTAAGAGTACTACGGTGCACCCTCAAATTCACGACGATGACATCCCAAGCCAGGGTTGCCAGCGCTCGCCGCTGGCGCGCGCGCGGGCGGACAAGCGCCGACAGCGCTTCGCTTCACGTCAGTTTCAAATCAGATCTTCGCTGAATTTAACCGCGCCACATTTTAATAAAATTTAGTTTTAAGAGCACGTCCGCCCTGCCCCGCACCTCCGTCCTCCCCCATTTTTTTGTTTGACCCGCGAATGTGCGATGCGGGCAAGCGATGCATCATTTTTTGCTTGAATCGACGAGGCGTACGTCGAATTGCGTGCGCGGTGCGTCACACGGGTTACGGTGTACGTTACTCTCGAGGCATCGGTAGCAGCGCTCCTGCCACGTGGAATTGTTGGCGCCGCGTGCACGCCGACGATGTCATCAAACCTCTGCTGAGTCGTCGCGAAGAATCGTTTGCCCTCGTGAAGCGAATCCAATGTGATGTAAAATTCCTTTGACGAACATACGAATTGGCCATAAGAGCCCCGTTAAATATTGGGACGCTTTGCATGGTAATTCAAAATACATATTTCATGATGTTGCAGTGGATTATTTTCATAAATAATACATGTGCGTGAAAGTAAAGTTTCAGCCTTGGAAGTGTCTTTGTGTGTATATATGAAGTATACACAGTACACACAGAAATAATTATCTATTGGGTGGCACCAAACATTTCAAATAAGTACAATTTCAACACTCGTCCGAATGAATTCACAAAGCCACAGATGTCCAATGTGTGCATACCGTGTAATGCATCATGCTTGTAAGACAGTGCTTTGCTTTAAAGATACAGTATAGGGGAAAAAAGGTCACACGTTTATTGCCTTTATTCGCCTACAAATGAGACACTTGAAGACACCGCCTGTACGCGTTTGAACATTGGCCGATTCTAATCATGCAAGGGGTGACCACCACTCAAACGTATTGGGTCCCTCTCGCAGGCTCCGCCGACTGTCTTGTAGGAAGGTGCACACCTCGCTTGTGCCCGACTCCTTACTGGCTTGATCATCTTTACCCCATTCTGTAATCTCCGTCTCTTCTCGTGCTCTCTCCTCGTTTCTCTCCATCTCTCATCTGCGTCCCTTTGCTAGATCCCAACTCGGCTCTTGATCTTTAGACTCGAATTAACGGAGTGCATTTCGCCTAGATGACGCTCTTCGTTGTGTTTAAGGATGACACGGGAACACGTGGCGGGTGGGCTACCGTCTGCCGTCCACGCAACCCAAACCGCCATAGCCTGCCCTCTTTCAACGGAGGAGGAATGGCAAAACTACACGAAGTCTCCTGCAGCGTTATCGTGGCTGCTGTTACCTCGACATTGGCGTTTAGCTCCTGAACGCATTGCCCATTCGCGAAAATAAAATAGCATCTCTAGCTCCACGGTGCTATGACGGACGCGGCCATCCCTCGTGTTCCAATTCTGTTTTGTCAGCGTTTATTTTGCCGAAAATTTAACACAAAGTTGTTTTTATTAAGGCTTCTCTCGACGTATAAAGCATTCGCAGTCGTATTTTGCCATGGAGACGCCTGTCCGGTCACATGAGCGTCAGCCCTTTGTGCCGCACGAATACAGCGGCAACTCGCTCCCGGGAAAGAAAAAAAAACACACAAGCGTGTGCTTCACAGTAAAAGCTGTCCCGTTTAAAAATAGCCGAATGAATAAGTAAATAAATATCTTTAGAACGGTGTGAGAGAGAGAGAAAAATATCAACGGCAATGCGTTATCCATAATAAAAGGGTTGTGTTGTGGGTTAGATCGCTTAAATAGAAATGTGTTGTTAAACCCGCCACCACCCGACACAGCCAATTAACAAGGTTTGTCACGTAAACAAAACGTACCAATTGGTTACTATTTCAGCACAACGGTGCGTTGGAGAATACACCCCACAACATTTACAATTCGAGTTCCGTGGCAGTTCTGCATTACTTACAGTGCCGAAAGTAATTACCACCACTTCACATCTGACTTGCATCCTTCTTAACTTACAATTTCTCCACTTCAACAGACCGGGGTGTGATGATGAATCGTAACAGAGCTGTTTTTCAATGTTGTTTCTTGGCATGTAAGGTTACGAATCCCGAGTCCTTTTGGACACAAATTGCTTTTAAATTACCCACACACTTATTTCTCTATTGATGACCGTAAGAAAAATGTATATGGCCAATATTATAACGTCTAAGGGTTGTCACAGATGCTGGGATCCCCATTCATTTGGGCAGCATCGGACGAAGTGTGTTTTACCATTTTAATATTCATACACTTTTACTGGCAAGATATTAAATATATATATATATAAAGGATGATAATAGGTTTTTCCCCTTTTTTTCTGGCAACAAAACAGGTGTTAAGATGTTAAAACACCAAACTAAAACCTTTTACAAGGAATAATGTCTGCATTAGCCACAATACTTGTGGTCAGAATGCAAAAAAAAAATACTCTGATAATATATGCATTGTTCTTGAAACTGATTGGTCCACACCAAAGACAGCTTTCTTTTGAGCCTCGTCTCAAACGGTGTTAGACCAGAAGACCAAAGACAATGCACTATCAGAGTAATGATGGGATCTTCTTTGCCACTACCAAAATATGAAAATAGTTTTTTTTTGCATTCTCACCACAAGCATTGTGGTTAATGCAGACATGATTCCTTGTAAAAGGTTTCCATTTGGTGTTTTAATATCTTGACACCTGTTTTGTTGCCAGAAAAAAGGGGAAAACCCTATTATCATATTTTGATACTGACAAAGGAGATCCCATGATATATATATAAAGGATAATATGAAAAAATATGCTTACAAAATATATACATTATTTCAAATCCTCTATGTGATTTTCTTCTGGAAATGGCTTGAAAAGTGAAAGTATTCTATTAATAACTTAGAGTGTTGCATTGTGGGGTCTATTTTGAGAAGAACCAAGATACGGGATTAGTATACAAATGTGTGATTTGTGTTTTGCCATCTAAAATTCGTCACCACAGTGTGGGTAGAGGTTAGTGAAAACTGTGATTATGCTAAATGCTTAATCTGGGAGGTTCCATTCACCTGGCAAGGATACTTATTGTGACCTGGGAGTTTAATTCATTTGGAAAGGATACGTATTATAATGCTGCACACCTGTGCAGCCAGTCCATCCACTATTCGAGAAAATGGCAACATCTTCTGGAGCTAAATGCCAATGGAGAGCTCTGCTGGCCACCACGGGAAGGCTTCAGGAGAGAGTTCGTGTAGTTTTTTCTGTTCTTCCCCTTGAAGGAGAGCAGACCGCAGTGGTTTACTCTACGTTCCTTCGTTTCGGTTGCATGGCCACAATAGCACTGTGGCTTGTCTTTAATAATCCGTCTACTGATGTTATTACTTGTGTGTGTGTGTGCGGTATTTCCTGTGGTGTACAAAATTGAACCTAATTTAGCTGTCAACAAGAAGGCAGTTTTTCACCATTTTCAGCCGTTTTCCTAAAACTGCCACGACACAATCATGTGCATGAGGACCACGTGAATCATGCCCTAATGCATTTCCATAGCCCTGCGTAGCCGCACGTGCCATGATAACAGTGTGATGCTACGGATGCAACAGAAGCGCAATATACAAATCGAGTGCAAGATTTGCACTTGCAGTGGTTCGTGCACACAAACCATCCGCCAACCTGAGTGCGATTCCCAGTCATTGTCTAACATCGGTGAAGTATGTTCGAACAAATCCCATGGCCGACATGGTGCAGAGGGAGGCCTTCCGATGGCTGTACGCGGTTCGCATTTAATATCATCGAGTGCAGCTCTACTGCATTTCTTTCCTTTTTTTCAAATTTGAGACGCAATAACAAGTCTACCCTGGGATCATATAACACAGTTGTCAGCACCACTGATGTCGGTCATGATCTTGCACAGGAAGTCCATCAGTCACGCCCAACGCCGGGAGGTGCAACATCAAATAAATGATGCACACACACAAGATGGTTTTCAGCCTACCGCAAGGATTTGCCACTCCCCTTTAGATGCCCTCTTGCCAGAGGTGGTAAACTACATTGAACATCACTGGAACCTCATTTGCCAGTAAAAATATGATATAATTGGTTTTTACCCTTCTATCTGGCAACAAAACTGACACCTTTTTTACAAGGAGCCTTTTGGCGTCATCTGGTCCAACCCATGTGAGACTAGGCTCTAAGGAAAGCTGTCTCGGGTGTGGACCAATCAACTTCAAGGACAGTGCACATTATCAGAGTTATGTTTTTTGTTTGCATTATGACTGCAGGTATTGTGGTCTATGCAAACATGACTCCTTGTAAAAAAAGTGTCAGTTTTGTTGCCAGATAGAAGGGTAAAAAACGAATTATCATACATTGAACATCACTGGGGACCACTCACATATGCTGCTGTATGTATACAAAGACAAAGATCTCCCATTTAGTCGTTATAGACTAAAGGGATATATAGCATAAGTTAGAAATGTAAGGCCAGAATGGCAAAGGAAGGTGTTGTCTGGCCAGCACTACATGCCTTTTCTGTCTTTTTCTCCCAAGTAAGTATTACATACTGCACTGAACTACCACACTACACAGCACTGGACGTACAATAAAACACATTTTGAATTTATATAGCGTCCACATGTGTCTACGTCGCAAGATACAGAGACGGTGGGCAGATTTAGTATTTTATTAGGAGAGGCCAAAGGCGGAGCCAATGCGCGTGTGTGTATGTAATGCACACGCAGACCTTACTGCACACACATGCACGGACAGCAAATCTAGCGATCACGCACATTGTGTGTCGCCACTATTTCTACGCGTTCATGGAATTGCTGAAGTGTCGATGCACAAAGTGCGATCATCGTCGGCGGCTTGCGATTCGCACGACGAGCGCAAGGCCGCCCATGCTGGCTTGTCTCGCTCGCTGCGCGCTTGCTCTAAAGATGCCGATACCTCCCCCGCTTTGCCTCCCAAGCCTGGGGGTACCACGCTCTTGTCGTGAGCGGCTTGAGAGCTCGGGGTGCAGAATGATGTGCCGGGCGTACAGTGCGATGCTGTTACAAGCGTCCTCTTTTTAAGGGCGCTGCTTTTTGCTGCTCCGAGGAAAAGGACATTCGTGCGTGCGCTTGTAATGTGAGCGGCTTCCACGTGAAGCCGCTGGTGTTTTTTTGTGTTCAGCGCTGCCGCCCGTGCTATTTGCTCCGTGCCGGATGCTTGCCTGGGAGTGAGGCTGCACATGCCTCCTTCGGAATCTCTTTCTGGTGGGAGTGGTGGGGCGGTGATGGGACGCGCTCTGCGTTATGTGCCCGCCGAGATGGGTTCGTTTCCCGGTACGTGAACCGGTCGCTTGGCATCCTGATTCTTCGCCAGCCCACGTTGATGAGTGTGGGGAAGTATGGCCAAACGACCCCGTGACCTACGCCGGTGTAGGCAGTCATTGCTCCAGTAGTGTACATTAATGACGAAGGGCTGTAAATTTTAAATCTCATCACCATTTTGGAGCAGTCAAAATTGATCAAGTTGAGCGCATCAGAGAAGTGTGTCACTTGTAATTTAGGCGAGGGAAACGCGATGACCTTGTTCAGAAATATGACATTCTAAACATTCTCAGACAGTTTTACACCAACGCTGTTACCAATGTTGTTTTGTTTTCGTTCGTGTCAGTCAAAAAATTGCATTTGTTAATCTTGAAAGAGATCACACAGCACTCAAAGGGATATGGATTGACCGGTATCAACAATCTCTCGGAATAATTTTATGCAGTGATTTAATTCCGTGGTGTGTAATTAGTTTGTCAAAAAAGAGAACAGCTCGATCAATACCAGCAAATGGATGCCCACAAGGATAGAGTGTTGTGATATATATAGCCGTGAAGAAAAATGTAATTTCCATGCTCAGAAATTCAAGTCTGTATACACGTTTCAGCATAAAATGTTAACCCAATATGTGATGCGACTATCAGATTTGCAATCAGTGTAAGATTGCAGTGCTATTTGAGAGTATGCTGCAGATGGAAACCTCATGCTATAAGTCCTTGAACAATAATTTTCACTCTTGTACAGCCACTCCAGCTCCTGATGTAGCTATGTGGGAGTTCATCTAATCCTTCAGTGTGCATAAGGCTTCACCCGACATCCTCTGGTATTACACTTACTTGCTGCTTGCCAGAAATGTGTTTTTCACGGGTAGATGCTGATGTGCCTTCAATCGCCCCACCTCTCTCCATCCGGCAGTATAGATGGGCATACAGCACCGCAGGCGTGAAGTGTGGGTACTCTGACCTCTTCCAAAACATCTGACCAGTCAAGTCAAGCCTGGAAGTCGCAGTCAAGTCAAAGTGATTTCCCGTTTTAATGAGCAGTCGGGCTGTATGTATGTTTGACTTTCTTCACACCATACGTAGTCAACATAAGAAATAAGTTCTAGAGAAATTAGTTTTCAGTCTAGATTTAAACGGCCGTCGCACTCCTTTCCCATTTACAGCCCTGAGCCAGTGGTGCAAATACCACCTTCCTATGGTAGTGACACGTCTTATCAATAGGACAACCACTGTCAATGAAGTGATATTTATTTTACTTACCCCTGAGGGATGATGGGCTGAGCCAGCCCCAATCTAGGATTTGAACTCAGAACCTTCCAATTGCAAGTCGCTTGCTCTACCACTGAGCCACCTGGCCAGACAGAACAGTGGCATGGCAGAGGAGGTCGAATGCCCTCTTGAGGAGCTGTCTAGCCCTCGAGTGGAGGCCCTTTCCACAGCAGTGGTGTTCACAAGCTGCTGCAAGGCTTCACTTTTACCATTTACCGATGCCATCAAGTTTCACGTGTCATAAATGTACAAGCCTGGCCTTGGACAGCGTGAATATATATTTGCACTGCAGTTTATCTACGGTATCAGTTTGGGGAAACGTGGCAGGTTAAATCTTTGATCGGGTACCAGCAATCGGCCCCTGCAGATTGTTATCCATCGGTGATCTTCTTCTGCAGGACAATCCACAAATGTTTATATTGCCCAAAGGGATTGTGAGGGCATAATGCAATCATCCCCAGCAATAAACGGAGCGCGCCACGGCTATCCGGTCATTGCCGGGCTGCTCCACAGAGGCTGCTACTAATGTGCGTACTCACATGTTAGACGATGCGCAGCGGTGTGTTTATTTTCACGGCTTTATCAAATGTCCATTGCTTGTAATGGTGTGATGGTTAGCACACTGGACTTGCAATCCACAGATTGGCTGGTTCATTCTCCCGGCGTGGCAGTTGAACCAATGGACAGGTTTCTCCAGTCCGACCCATGCCCTCCGTCCACCCAGCAGTATAAATGAGCCCACCACAAGTTAGCCGATCGGCAGGTTGCGCACGGTGGGTGAAAGCGTTGCGCAACGACCAAGTTTGCTTGTGTTGCGATTGAAATGTCTTGATCTATTATTTTTCTACCTATGTAGCTTTACCGAAAGAACCAAAGAGTATGGATTCCTGCAGTCACGAAAGCTTCAAATCAACTATTCTAAACTAGCGATTGGCAATGTGGTTCGGGAGCTAAATGCCAATGTCGAGGTCTGCTCACCATGACGAGAGGGCTTCGGGAGAGAGAGAAAGTGTCGTTTTGCTTTTCCTCCACCGTTAAAGGAGCGCAGACTGCAGTGGTTTCCATAGTTTAGGTTGCATGGCCACAGTCACACTCGTAGCTTATCTTTAATTTTCCAATCATGAAGGAGTTGTGCGACTCGGCCTGTTGATGTTCCAATGCAGTTGATGGTTCCACCCAGTGTCTCAGCCCGGTCACCAATGACTGCTTAAAAAAGACAATCTAATAAATGTCGTTATGCCCCTAATTTGGCTACATTATATCTCTGATAATTAAATTATCGGTTTGCCTTTCATGCGATGGACATTACTCTCATACGCAACGGGTAGGAAAGTGACTTGCGAGGGATCTCAGAGGTAGCTTTGTGATATATATATCCATTCGCAGGGGCCGCCCTCCAACGAGGAATTGTTTCACTGCTCTGTGATACATCCAAACAGATCGTACAATCGGATTAAAATTGGTTTAAAAAAAGATCTACGAAAAATTATCAATACATCTTCTTGTCAGCTGATGATGATACAATCTATTGCTCGATTCCGGATTGTTTATCGCCTAACAGCCAGCTCTGGAAACGAAATAGTTGAGCCACAGATGACCTTTGACTTGTATGTTTGGTTTTCAAGAAGTTTGTTCAACCCTCCTGGTCAATTATACCCGTGAGGCACCGCGCTAGTCCTTCACAGCAGGCCTTGGCTGTGCACAGGGTTTTTGTTTTATTGGCTAAACAACAACAACAAATGATGTAAGCAAAAAGTTAGACTTTTATACTCTTTGGTTCTTTCAGTAAAGTCACGTAGGTATAAAATAAATCACGACATTTCGGGTGCAACACAAGCGCTTGTTTTGCGCCCAAAACGTCGTGATTTATTTTATTTTATACCCACGTGACTTTACCGAAAGAACCAAAGAGTATGGATTCCTGCAGTCACGAAAGCTTCAAATCAAGATTAGACTTTTATACTTTCACTTTATTTATATCGTGTAAATACAAATAGCATAATATACAATTAAATTGTAGATTTGTGTTAAACGTTTCACTGTAAAACATTTCACTGATGTATCGTATAATTTAAGACATTTATTTGACATTTAAATATATTTCAATTATTTAATTGTTATTTTTGTATTGGCTTTTTTTAGCTTGTGACCCAGATCTCTCTTGCAAAAGAGATGTGCAGAGTGGGGGTCTCATCTGGCCGGTCATGAATTAATATTTGTACACATGAGCACAAACTTGATTTGAAGCTTTCGTGACTGCAGGAATTACTCTTTGGTTCTTTCGGTAAAGTCACGTAGAAAGAAAATAAATTAAATAATAGAGTACGACGTTTCGATTGCAACACAAGCAGCCGTCATCAGGTAGAACTAAATTTGAGAGAGAGACAAAACACAGATACGGAGACACACAGACAGACACAGACAACACAGACACACAGAGAGAGACACACAACTTAGACACACAGAGACCCAATGCCTCTGTGTCGAGGCCTTAAATGGAGAGGGGGGGGGGCAGAAAGAGAGGTGGGTCTGCTGGTGGCTGCTGCTGGAGCAGAGAAATGAATCCACCCCGAAGCGACCGAGGGAAAGAAGAAGATCGAATGGCTTTAAGAGATCCTGGTAAAAATTTTAACACACTTGTTTTGCATCTCATTTATGACCAATGTCAAATTCTAAATGGCTCGCGTGAGTCATTCAGATCTGAATATTACAGCCGTAGCCAGTCTTAAGCGTTCTCCATTTTTATTTCAAACGAAATTGTGCACACGTTCACAATGCCAGCTCGTGTGCTGGCTTTAAACGTATCGTGGTGTCGTTGTCGTCTGCAAAACTTGACGAGAGGTAAGACGTGTTTATTTTTCAAAAGTTCACTATCAATGCGTACACTGGGCACTCGGGAGATACGGTCATTGCAAATGTGGCTTGAGTGATGAATTTCAGAAAATAAATCAGCTGAAGATCACAATCACACCTTTTTATCGATTGTGCCTAATGTCTTGATGTGTGAACAACACCTGGGTAATGGAGACCAGGCTACTGAGCAAATAATACAAAACGGTCAAATACAGAACACTCGCCTCTATACCAGGCGAGGTAGTTAACATTTCGCCACCGTAGCGCCCATCTCTGTCTCGCACGATCTGTTCTCACAGTCTCCCACATTCCGGGCTCACTCCCACTCTTGGTCTTAGTGTTCAGTAATAATCTAATAAGAATTGTTGCAGGTTAGGT